TAGAGAATAATAAACTATGTAAATCCTCAATCCTAGGTATTATTGTCAAAGTTATATGGCCTACAAGGAATATTCTATTTTACTTCATATTTACCTGGTGAACACATCATTTGTTACAATCTAATTATATGAGGCCTATGTCATTTGGAGGGAGGAAGCTGGTAAGAATATACCTCCCATGTCCTTGTTGGTGAACATAGTGTCAGCACTATTCACGCATGACATTGGTATGCAGAACCATTACACGCAGACTGGCTAGAAACTTATTAAATTCTTGTGCCCAGATCTCAGTGCAGCAACCAAAGAGGGAGGTGGAGAGCTCGGAAGGGGCTCAAAGGAGAGCCACAACGTTGATTAAAGGGTTTGAAAAATAAGAGCTGTGAGGGAAGGTTAAAAGAACTGTGATTATTCAGGCTTGAACACAACTACAGGCTGAAAGGTGAATTAATAATAGAATTCTAATAAATAAAACTCTTACAAGGTAGATGGAGACTGGCTATTTTCTAAATGTGTTGAGAACAGGCAAATAGAATTTATACCTTAGCATAAGAGATTTAGTTAAATGTAAAGAAAATTTTCCTGACAGCATTAATCAAATATTCTCAGCACCAAACATATTACCTAATAGTAAATTTGATGTTCAGGAAGGTATAAATATACTTTCAGGTCAGTAGGTTACCACTCAATGAGTTACTATTACAAGTAAGACTACTGGGTAGACTAGGAATAGAGTGGCAGTGAGGAAAAAAAAGATCAGGAATGAAGTGGTGCCCCACTCCTGAAAAGGGGAGAACGGGGAGAGAGGAGGAAGAGAGGAATGGTAGGACACAAAGAAGAGAAAGTAAGAAAAAAGAGTGGAGCTGTTTCAAAAACATGCTGTTTCTTCCTTTTTACTATTTGTACAGCGGATCCACTTAGATATCTGCGTTTGAGAACATGACCTTGATGCAGCCATTGCTCTCGCAAAGGACAAAGTTAACGAAGTTGTTTTCAAGCTTGAACATCTAATTGAACAAATTGAGCAAATAGTCAAAGAACAAAACTATCAAAGGGTCAGTCCGCCTACTCAGCTTATTTTATCTCTTGCTGCCAGGAATTCATTTCACAACACAAAGCTCCTGGACCAAGGAAAGAATGAACTGCCTGTTCATCAATCTTTCTCTTTGAGCTAGAATTGTGTGGACATGCAGGGAATGGGGAGAGATCAGTCTGTCTTCACTCTGTCTGCTGGACCATGAGCTCCTCTAGGAAAGAGGACTATGGATCATTCACCTTTTTATTCCCTGTGCTTAGTGAAGTGGCCAGAAGCAAAGGGTATGAGTTGAGAGAATGAATAAGTAGATGCTTCCAAACGACCCCGTATCTTTGTAATGGATCAAGTATGCCCACTTTCTAAATCACAATTTTGTTCTTATGATATTATTTGTTTTCTGAGTCATTGAGCTCAGTGGACACTGGCTAGTCATGGGCTCAAATCTCTACCACTCACTCACCTTGTGTTATCTCTAAGCCTGTTTCCTTATCTGAAAAAATAAGGATGGGTGTGATAATTAGATAAGGCATGCAAGTGCCTTGCATAGTGCTCAGCATAAAGTAAGGACTCAGATGATGAAAATCGATCACTATTGGGTAATGTTCACTTTGCCTGATGGTAGCAAATAAAATGTATAAAGTTATAGATCAAGTTCCTGATATTTTACACCAAAATACAAAAATGTGTTTTATAAGGTTGGTTTTTATTCTCTATACTTGGCTAAACAACAGACTCTGGCTTAGAAAATCGGATACTGCACTTTGGCTTAAGATATTGATTAGGTAATATCTAATACCTGGAATACACACAGCAACCTTCCCCTCAAAGTCATGTGTACTAAGTGTACTCCTAAATGTGTCCAAACTAAACACGTGTATTTCTCTTCCACTTAGGACCCTGAAGAAAATTTTCAACTGACCAATGTAGATATAAAGAGCAGTGCTTTATGGCGGACTGTTGCACAAACATTAATCTTTACCTCAGTTGGAATTTTCCAAATGAAGTACCTAAAAGACTTTTTTGTGGCTAAGAAGCTTGTTTAAAATATTATCAATAAAGACAAATAACTTGCATAACGTTTGAATTAATAAATAAAAATACACGCATTAATGTATATTACTTTTATGATTTCAAAGATATGAGAAATTGAAATTACTGTTATAGCATTGTAACACTCGTGTTATTTTAACAATGTAGCTTCTGAATTCGAAAGAATAAGCACATCATCTTATTCTTACATTAAACGTGGTACAGATCAGACTGCCCTAGAAAAATAAAATGTGAGCCGCACGCGTAATTACAAGTTTTCTGGTCACCACATTCAAAAAGGGTATAAATTAATCCTGGAATCACCTATTTAACCCAATATACCAAAAATATTATCATTTTAACATACCATCAATATAAAATTATTAATGAAGTACTTCACATTCTCTTTCTCATACTAAGTCTTGGAGACCCCAGTTGTTCTTTACACCTACGGCTTCCCTCGACTTGGACCAGCCACATCTCAAGGGCTTAGGGTCACTTGGGCTCACGGCTACAATCCTGCATGCAGCAATCACGTCTTTTCCCTGCTGCATTCCTCTCGTAAAGTCACCCTGAATCCCTGTTTCTCCTACCTGCCTGGGTGACAGTCGCTTCCCTCCACACTAGTGAATGGTCGGATGCCCCCTCTGAATGCATGAGCCACAACCCACACGTGGACGGCACCCCGGGACCCGGCCTCACGGGCGTGGTGTAACTTTTACAAAACCTAACTTTTGCCTACTTTGTAAACTTTTAATTTCGAGATCATCACAGTCTCTCTGGAAGTTGCAAACACAGTTGCCTCCGTTCCCCGCTTCTCCCGCCTCCTACTTTCCGAAGGGGGTCAAGCCCCTGCAGACACGCGGAGGGGAGGAGAAGCCCCGCCCGGCCCTCTTCATCCCCTGGCCCGGCCCTCTTCCCGTCTCCTGCTCCTCCACCACCTCTGCACTGTGGGCCTGGAAGCCTGGCGCGAATCCGCTCGGCCCTGCGCGGCCTGCCGTGGCAAGCAGGTGACCATCGGCATGTGGGCCAGTGTAGCAGGAGGAGCTCCTCAGAGGCCGGCCGGGCGTGTCCTCAGTGCAGGGGCCTTGCCCCGCGCCAGCGCCACCTTCCCGGCGCACCCCATCGCCAGCGCTCACAGGGGCGCTACCATGACAGGCTGCTCCAGAGGAGAATGTTGAGGATTGCAGTGATGGGGGGGCCTCACGGCATGTTCCGCCTCTCATACGTTCAGCCAGAATGACCGGCCAGGAGAAAAGTCAAGTTCACACCTCCCTCCCTGTCTGGCTTGGTACATTCCAACCGTCGGGTTTTGGCGGGAGAGGCGGCGCGCTCCGGTGCGCAGGCGCAGACGTGCCCACCCTCGGCCGCGCAAAGCTGCGTCTGCCTCAACCGCTGGGACTCGGCGGCATGGCCAGCTGGGTGTTCTGTAATCGCTGCTTCCAGCCGCCCAGCCAGGCGTCCTGCTTCAGCCTGACCAACTGCGGGCACGTGTACTGTGAGGCCTGCCTCGGCAAAGGTCAGGGCAGGCGACCCTCGCGCCTGGCCACG